TTCTGGGTTCAGGATATTTTCCATTTGATTTCTTGGGTGAAAAACACCATAAATGAGAAGCTTGAACAGGCTTAGGAATCAATTGAAATGAATCAGATTTTTCTCCCCAAACCTTCTTCGCTTTCTGCACCATTCTTGGTTTCTTGGGTAAAAAAACACCATAAATGAGAAGTTTGAACAGGGTTTTAGGAATCAATTAAAATGAATCAGATTTTTCTCTTCTCTTTCTGCACCATTTTGGGTTCAAATTCCATTTGATTTCTTGGGTATCAAACACCATAAATGAGAAGCTTGAACAGTCTTTTAGGAATCAATTGAAATGAATCAGATTTTTCTCCCCAAACCATCTTCCCTTCCTGCACCATTCTGGGTTCAAATTCCATTTGATTTCTTGGGTAAAAAGACATAAATGAGAAGCTTAAACAGGCTTTTAGGAATCAATTGAAATGGATCACATTTTTACCCCAAATCATCATCTCTTCCTGCACTGTTCTAGGTTCAGGGTATTTTCCATTTAATTTCTTGTGTAACAAAACTCACAGATAGGAGGCTTGAACAGGCTTATGAATGAATTAAAATGAATCACATTTTTTCTCCCCAAACCATCTTCTCCTCCTGCACCATTGTGTGTTTAGGGTATTTTCTATTTGATTTCTTGGCTGAAAAACACATAAATGGCAGGCTTGAGTTCTTAAAAATCAGATTTTTCTCCCCAAACCATCTTCTCCTCTTGGCACTGTCTGGGTTCAGGACATTTTCCATTTGATTTCTTGGGTACAAAACACCATAAATGAGAAGTTTGAACAGGCTTATGAATGAATTGAAATGAATCAGATTTTTCTCCCCAAACCATCTTTGCTTTCTGCACTATTTTGGGTTCAGGATATTTTCCATTTGATTTCTTGGGTATAAAACACCATAAATGAGAAGCTTGAACAGGCTTAGGAATCAATTGAAATGAAGCAAATTTTTCTCCCCAAACCTTCTTTGCTTTCTCCACTATTTTGGGTTCAGGATATTTTCTATTTGATTTCTTGGGTGAAAAACACAGTGAATGAGAAGCTCGAACAGTCTTAGGGATGAATTAAAATGAATCAGATTTTTCTACTGCACTATTCTGTCGTCTGGATATTTTCCATTTGATTTTTCCTTCATCCTTCCCCTTCCCATGGAACGAATTTTCTTTCCCAAACCACGTTTGGAGCAGAAGCTGTTGGGGCCCCTCAGGAGTGGTTATCCCATCAGGAATGGATCCAAAGGACATTTTTTCCCTTTCCCTTTGTGCAGACATCATCATCCCCGAGAACGGCGAGCCCGTCAGCTCCAAGGACATCAAATGTTGCATCAAACAAATCCAGGAGCTGATCATCTCACGGCTCAACCAGGCTGTGGCCAACAAACTGATCAGCTCCGTGGATTATCTGCGTGAGAGCTTCGTGGGGACTCTGGAGCGCTGCCTCAAGAGTTTGGAGGAGTCCTGGGAGGTGTCTGTGCACCCCTCCCGGAGCTTGGAGAAACCCAAGGATGGCTCCGTGCACATCACGAGCAATTATCTCAAACAGGTGCTGCGGGGAATGTTCTGGGTTGTTGGGTTTGTGCTGGTCCGGGGAGGTGGGGGGAGATGGAGGTGATGGAATTGGGGAAAGAGCTCGGGAATATTTGGGGATTTAGGGTGATAAAAGTGGGGAATGGTCACAGTCCAACAGCTCTGGGATGTTCCTTATTCCGGTCCGGGAAGGTGGGGGGGATGGAGGCTGTGGAATCAGGGAAACAATTTGGGAATGTGTGGGAATTTGGGGTGCTAAAAGTGGGAACAGTCACTTGCAGTCCAACAACTCTGAAATGTTCCTCGTTGGTGTTGTCCGAGTTCAGGAAGGTGGAGGGAGATGGAGGCTGTGGAATCAGGAAAATAGTTTGGGAATATTCAGGAATTTGGGGTGCTAAAAGTGGGGAATGTTAGTTAAGATGTTAAATTTTCCTGAATCTGTATAAAACCATCAGATTACAGTTCTGAAATGTTCCTCATTGTTGGCTTTGTCCCAGTCCAGGAAGGTTGGGGGAGGTGGAGGCAGTGGAATCAGGAAAACAGCTTGGGAATATTTGGAGATTTGGGCTGCTAAAAGTGGGGAATGGTCACAGTCCAACAGCTCTGGAATGTTCTGGGTTGTTGGGTTTGTCCCAGTCCAGGGAGGTGGGGGGAGATGGAGGCAAGGAAATCAGTTTGAGAATATTTGGGGTGTTAAAAGTGGGGAATGGTCACAGTCCAGCAGCTCTGGAAAGTTCTGGATTGTTGGGTTTGTGCCAGTCCAGGAAGGTTAGGGGAGATGGAGGCTGTGGAATCAGGGAAACAATTTGGGAATATGTGGGAATTTGGGTGCTAAAAGTAGGAAACAGTCACTTGCAGTCCAACAGCTCTGGATGTTCTGGGTTGTTGAGTTTGTCCCGGTCCAGGGAGGTTGGGGGAGATGGAGGCAGGGAAATCAGGAAAACAGTTTGAGAATATTTGGGGATTTGGGGTGCCAAAAGTGCGGAATGGTCACAGTCCAACAGCTCTGGAATGTTCTGGTTGTTGGGTTTGTGCCAGTCCGGGGAGGTGGGGGGAGATGGAGGTGATGGAATCGAGGAAAGAGCTTGGGAATATTTGGGGATTTGGGGTGCTAAAAGTGAGAAAAAGTCACAGGCCAACAGCTCTGGAATGTTC